ACGTTTCCCGGATTTCAATGGTTATACTTCAGTACGTTCTGTGCTTAGGAAAAGACAAAATTTCAGGTCAATCAGGTGCAAAAGGAAAACCAAACATAAGTTGGTCACTTGGTCACAAAGGTTTGAAGACTGGACCCAAGAAGACGGCAGAAATCGAGCCTATCCTTTGTGATGCTGATAGGAAAATTCTTTGCCAACGCAGTTGTTTACCGAACGACATACGGTTTAACAAAATTAAAATAACATATGAATCTAGTAATGGCCTAACTCGCCATAGCACTCTCTTGGAAGTTCAGTGGTTGAACATCGGAGCGCGGAATCCAAAGGTCTGAGATTCGATTCTTCGTGGGGATTCGGATTGTTTTCTTTCTCCCACACTCGTGACAAGACGAAAACAATAACGTACTTTAAAAAGACGTTAAGTTTTGAAATGTTACTAACCCTTTAATTCCTTCGAATGTGCTGCTCGCAAAGTCAACCAAACCTCCGGCAGGACGTGCCACTACACCAACTACACCCTTTCCCAGTCCCTTGAAAAACCCCGCGGCACCACCAGCCTTTGCGCCTATAAAAATGAATGACAAGTGAAGGAAAACAGATAACTCCGTGAAGATGTCCTGATTTGTGACGGGTGGGAGACGGAGTTCTTAGGTAAGAGAAGAGAACTTCCACATTTAGTTGGAAGGTTACGGAATAAAAATTCATGCGAGTCTTTTTACCCTTGACGGTGTTTAGAGTCTGATCAAAGCCGAACTGGTAAAAATAGAAATTCTCTATGAAACAAAAAAACGTAAAAGACCCAATTGGCAATTTAATAAAATCACTTTTGTAAAAAGTGCATTTTTTAACTGAACTCACCCTGCACTGGTTTGGTTACTATCCCTGTCACACCTCCCACAACGCCCTAAAAATACACAAAGCAAGCAAAAAATTACAGAAATAACAAAGTGCAATGGTTTCTTATCACTCACTACAAGCGATCACGACATGGTCACGTGCGTTTTCTCCGCGCTCGAACCAATTTAATTGCCTTTTTCTTGCTTTTTCGGTTTTGATTTGCTTTGTTTTGTTTTGTCGAAGAGGTCCTATTAATTTCGTACGAAAGTTTCCTTCGTCCTGATTGGCCGGAGTGATTTCTTTGGATTAGATGTTATGACAATCATTCGCATGCACGCATAAACGCCCGATGTATAAAGTTCACATCTACATGCCATAAAAAAAAACAAAACCGGAAAAAAAAAACATGTTACGTCGAGAAACCGCCTGGTAAGTAACACAACATTCCTTTATTGCGTCTATAACTCCAAGTTCTCATGACTTTAATTGACGTCCTATTTCAAAGTCTTCCCTTGAGGTTATCAAAGCACTCTAGCCTTAGCACTTACTTCAAGTAGTCCCTTCCCACCCCTTGTGAGTCCTTCTTTGACATTAACAGGTTTCTTTCCCATCGCCTGCCTCCTCTCCTGTTGGTATTTATCATCCATTGTTAGTGCAGCGATACCTTTTCCCAGCGTTCCAGTTATACGAGAGACTGCACCAGCCGCTCCACCTGAAAAACAAACAAACAAGAACATTTGGAATATCAAAATACTCCATATGCCCAGGGGTTAATCACCAGAAGAAGTCAGGTAAAGCAGTCAAAAGGTTGCGTTCAACGACCTAAGTAGCCTGCGATGCTGGATCACCAAGTTTCTATATCATGCAAAGACTAACACTATGGCCTCTCCTCCAAGACGGAAATTAGACCATCACTATTAACCTTCCAGCAACTCGTTTGGTTTTCCTGATAGTATCACAGAATAGAGAGAGACATAAGGAGTAAAGTGTCTTCCCCAAGAATTTAACTTAATGATCCGGCCAGGTTTCAGTCCAGCGCGTGAACAAGTCCAAAAAAAGGAGTGAAACCTGGGCATAGATTAACATCAACATACCAACAGTGTGACCAAACAAGCTCTTGGCGCCAATCATCAAACCCTCTGCGAACTCGCCAGGACCTTGGATAAGACCCTAGCACAAACAGAAACAACAGTATTCGGACTTGTCTCAGTTTTTGCAATTCTGTCCACTTCTATCTTTGTTCCTATCCACGAACATACTTTATAAAGGATTGCTGACTCATTTTCAGGCCAATGACTGAGAGGGGCCTGGACACAGTCCTTCAAAATGCTAATTG